TCGTAAATTTTGATATCTTCCAATAGTTTTATACTTAAGCTGAAATACATAAGCAATTGCCAAACATTTTGGGGGAAACGAAAAATCATAAAATCGGGGTAGAATTATAAAGAAAAGGGATATTTTAATAATATAGTAGGGTGGGTACTTTTCGAGTTACTAAGTCCAAGAATGAAATAGTCTATTAAATGGATCTTACCTTAGTTGATGGTCCAGATGGTCCTTTTTGATTCGTCTAAAGTCTGGACTATTGTTTAGTCTATAGTCTGGATCATAGTTTAGTCTAGTTATAGTGTGGACCACAGTTTAGTCAACAGTCTGAAATATAGTTAATCTACAGTCCGGACTATAGTTTAGTTTATAGTCTGTACTATTGTTTGGTCTATAGTCAGGACTATAGTTTAATCTATAGTCTGGACTATAGTTTAGTCTACAGTCTGGACTATAGTTTAGTATATAGTCAGAACTATAGTTTAATCTATAATCTGGACTATAGTTTGGTCTAGACTAGTATATAATCAGGACTATATATTAATCTATAGTCAGGACTATAGTTTAGTCTATAGTCTGGACTATAGTATATAGTCAGAATTATAGTTTAATCTATAATCTGAACTATAGTTTAGTCTATAGTCTAGACCATAGTTTAGTCTATAGCCTGGACTATAGTTTAGTTTATAGTCTGGACTATAGTTTAATTTATAATCAGGACTATAGTTTAACCTATAGTCTGGACTATAGTTTAGTATATAGTCAGAACTATAGTTTAATCTATAATCTGGACTATAGTTTAGTCTATATTTTGGACTATAGTTTAGTCAATAGTTTGGACTATAGTGTAGTTATCGTCTGGACTATAATTTAATCTATAGTCTGGACTATAGTTTAGTCTATAGGTTGGACTATAGTTTAGTTTATAGTCTGGACTATAGTTAGTTTAGTCTATAGTCTGGACTATAGTTTAGTTTATGGTATGGACCATAGTTTAGTCTATAGTCTGGAATATAGTTAGTTTAGTCTATAGTCTGGACTATAGTTAGTTCAGTCTATAGTCAAGATTATTGATTCGTCTAAAGTCTAGTCTATAGTTTAGTTAATAGTCTGGACTATAGTTTAGTCTATAGTCTGGAGTATAGTTTAGTCTGTACTATAGTTTAGTCTATAGTCTGGACTATAGTTTATTCTATAGTGTGGACTATAGTTTAATTTGTAGTCTGGACTATAGTTTAGTATATAGTCAGAACTATAGTTTAATTAATAGTCCGAACTATAGTTTAGTCTATAGTCTGGACTATAGTTTAGTCTATAGTGTGGACTATAGTTTAATTTGTAGTCTGGACTATAGTTTAGTATATAGTCAGAACTATAGTTTTAATAATAATCCGAACTATAGTTTAGTCTATGGTCTGGACTATAGTTTGGTTTATAGTCTGGACTATAGTTTAGTTATAGTCTGGACTATAGTTTAGTATATAGTCAGGACTATAATTAAGTCTATAGTCTGGACTATAGTTAGTTTAGTCTATAGTCAAGATTATTGATTCGTCTAAAGTCTAGTCTATAGTTTAGTCTATAGTGTGGGCTATAGTTTAGTTTATGGTCTGGACTATAGTTTAGATAATAGTCTGGACTATAGTTTAGTATATAGTCAGGACTATTATTTAATGTATTGTCTGAAATATAGTTTAGTCTAGAGTCTGGACTATAGTTAAGTTTTTAATCTGGACTATAGTTTAGTTTATAGTCTGGACTTTAGTTTAGTTTAAAGTCTGGACTAAGGTTTAGTCTACAGACTGGAAAGTTCAATGGTACAGTCTATAGTCCATAGATATTACCCCCTTACTTATAAAAATGTTAAATTATCCTTTAGAAGGAATTTTTTTTTATTTTTATTTCAGTTTTTCTTCCAATACCCATAATTTTTTGCACTTTTTGTGTTATTTTTGACAATTGGGGGAGATTTCTTAGTTGAGAAAGTAACAAAAATATATAATAAGAAAATCTGAATTATGTTAGGTCAAGGATTTGTTTATCATATACTTAACATAGCAATACAATTCAAACATAAAAGGACTTAGAAGAAAAGTAAAATGTTTAACATTCTTTTTTTTTTTTTTGGGAACAGAGATTAAGACATTTTGTTGTGGCCAGCAATTTAGTTAGAATGCAAGTGTGAAGGGTAGATTGAATGGACTTAACTGTAACTTTTAACAAGTTGTTTGAGTGAAAATTGCTATTTTTGAAAAGTATAAAGTAAAAATCATCCGTTGAGATGATGGAGTTTATGGAGTTTATTTTTATGGAAACATAAATGCAACTGTCAAAAATTTTGTATTAAAACTTTAATATTTATACGAACAATAAATATTTAAATTGAATTTATTTGTTTAAAGGTCAAATCATGAAGGATAAACATAACAATACAATAACAAGAAACTGTGAAATACTTTTTGCCCCATAAAAGAAAAACTATAAAGAAACAATGCAATATTTAACAAGGTCATCATCATTATCCAATTCCTTGCAAATATCCTGTCACTTTGCTTTTAATACCCCACAATAATTGTAATTAAGTTTATAAAATGCAAACAAGTTCATCAAAGTAATTATTTTTATACTCCCCCCTTTATGTAGTTTTTGAAAATGTCATTAAATGACATTTGCGCTCAATTTACTTTAAAAATACTACAAACAAAAGATATTGTTATCGTAGTTGTAATAGTTGTTGTTGTCCGTATCATCAACTAATTACTTCAGACAAAAAAAAAAAAAAACTCCGAACTAATGAAAGTTTTGTGCTAATATTAGAGATTGCTGTCAATCGTTAAGCAGTGAAAGAAAGTTATTAAAAAATCCCCCTGGTTTTACTGAAATGATAACAGTGGGATTGAAGAGAATTCGACTATACAAAAGACTATAACCTGGACTATAGTATGGACTATAACATAGTATGAACTATAGAGTAGACTATAGTATGGACTATAGAGTAGACTATAGTCTAGTCTATAATGTATACTATAGTCTGGACTATAGAGTAGACTATAGTCTGGACTATGGAGTAGACTATAGTCTGGACTATGGAGTAGACTATAGTCTGGACTATAGAGTAGACTATAATCTGCACTATAGAGTAGACTATAGTTTGGACTATAGAGTAGACTATAGAGAAGACTATAGTTTGGACTATAGTGCAGACTATAGTCTGGACTATAGAGTAGACTATAGCCTGGACTATAGAATAGACTATAGAGTAGACTATAGTCTGGGCTATAGAGTAGACTATAGTCTGGGCTATAGAGTAGACTATAATTTGGACTATAGAGTAGACTATAGAGCAGACTATAGTTTGGACCATAGAGTAGACTATAGTTTGGACTATAGTGCAGACTATAGTCTGGACTATAGAGTAGACTATAGCCTGGACTATAGAATAGACTATAGTCTGGACTATAGAGTAGACTATAGTCTGGGCTATAGAGTAGACTATAGTCTGGGCTATAGAGTAGACTATAATCTGGACTATAGAATAGACTATAGTTTGGACTATAGAGTAGACTATAGTTTGGACTATAGAGTAGACTATAGTTTGGACTATAGTGCAGACTATTGTCTGGAATATAGAGTAGACTATAGTCTGGACTATAGAGTAGGCTATAGTCTGGACTATAGAGTGGACTATAGTCTGGGCTATAGACTAGACTATAGTCTGGGCTATAGAGTAGACTATAGTCTGGGCTATAGAGTAGACTATAGTCTGGACTATAGAGTAGACTATAGTATGGACTATAGAGTAGACTATAGTCTGGACTATAGAGTAGACTATAGAGTAGACTATAGTCTGGACTATAGAGTAGATTATCTTCTGGACTATAGAGTAGAGTACAGTCTGGACTATAGAGTAGACTATAGTCTGGACTATAGAGTAGACTATAGTCTGGACTATAGAGTAGACTATAGTCTGGACTATAGAGTAGACTATAGTCTGGACTATAGAGTAGACTATAGTCTGAACTATGGAGTAGTCTATAGTCTGGACCCTGGAGTAGTCTATAGTCTGGACCCTGGAGTAGTCTATAGTCTGGACTATGGAGTGGACTATAGTCTGGACCCTGGAGTAGTCTATAGTCTGGACTATGGAGTGGACTATAGTCTGGACTTTAGAGTAGACTATTGTCTGGAGTATAGAGTAGACTACAGTCTGGACTATAGAGTAGATTATATTCTGGACTATAGTGTAGTCAATAGTCTGGACTACAGAGTAGACTATAGTCTGGACTATAGAGTAGACTATAGAGTAAACTATAGTCTGGACTATAGAGTAAACTATAGTCTGGACTATAGAGTAGACTATAGTCTGGACTATAGAGTGGTCAATAGTCTGGCCTTTCATAGGCTGTACTGTAGTTGTAGTAGACTATAGAGTATAGTCTGGACTACAGAGTAGACTATAGTCTGGACTATGGAGTAGTCAATAGTCTGGACTATAGAGTAGTCAATAGTCTGGACTATAGAGTAGGCTATAGTTTGGACTATAGCGTCTGAACTATGGAGTAATCTAGACTATAGCAGACTACAAAGTAGAATATAGTCTGGACTATAGAGTAGACTATAGTCTGGACTATAGAGTAGACTATAGTATGGACTATAAAGTAGACTATAGTCTGGACTATAGAGTAGACTATAGTCTGGACTATAGAGTGGACTATAGTCTGGAATATAGAGTAGATTATGGTTTGGACTATAGAGTAGACTATAGTCTGGACTATAGCATAGACTATTGCCTGAACTATAGAGTATATAATAGTCTGGCCTGCCATAGGCTGTACTGTAGTTAACTAGTAGTCTGGATTTTTAATTACTTAGTCTGTAGGATATTATGAAAGTTTGCATTTTAAAAAGTCGTTAGTTTATCTTATCAGGAAACATTAACATTAGTGACTATAATTACTCTTTAATGGGTCTAACGAGGCCTCAACACAACTATAAATAAACTAAGCTTGAAATGATTTAGCTCAAACCCAACTAAGTAAAACAAAATGTTAAAATATTTTGTATTAAGTTTATTTGCATTGTCTTTAACGTGGCAAGCTTTCGGCGAGGACTCTGATTCGAAAGAGTCCGAATTTGGTGTTAGTCAATTCAATGATACCGATGGCAATATAATACCGAGACCACGTTATGCTCAATTGAATATTAATGACAAAACGTATACATTTATATTCATACCTGTCAATTGGTATACGGCCGTGGAAATTTGCAATTCACAAAATCAAGTTATAGCCAGAGTGACCAGTTCCGAAGAGAGTACTAAATTATATGACAGTTTATATAAGAATGGTAAGTTTAATTAAAGTAGAGAATTGTTTACTATATACTAAATATAATCATTTGTTGTTTAGGTCTTGTAAGAGCTGATTCCTCTTTTTGGTTAGGCGCTAGTGATTTGGGCCATTATGGCCGTTGGTCATGGATTACCACAGGACGTCCAGCTTTATATACTAACTGGAGTCCCGGTGAACCCAATAATCTTTATGGCAGAGAACATTGTCTAGAATTGCAAGGTAATGGCAAGTGGAATGATAACGATTGCGAAAATCTAAAACAAGTTGTATGTCAAAATCGTCCTACTTGTCAATAATTGTATTCCATATTCAAAGGTCTAATAAAATCATTAAAGCAAATTATATATTATGTTAAATTATTTAATACAATCAAATATAAATACTAATATATAGGCGAAACTGAAGACAAACCGGTAGTATAAAGAAGAGAAAAGAAAGAAAAGTCTATAGTCTAGACTATAGAATAGACTTTAAAATAGACTGTAGAATAGGCTATAGAATGGACGACTAAAGAACTGACTATACAATATAGAATCCACAGTCTGGACTATAGAAGAGATTATAGTCTGACCTCTTGAATAGTCTATAGTCTGGACTACAGAAGAGTCTATAGTCTGGACTATAAGAGTCTATCGTCTGGACTATAGTAGAGTCTATAGTCTGGAGTATAGAAAAGTCTATAGTCTGAACTATAGAAGAGTCTATAGTCTGGACTAAAAAAGAGTCAATAGTCTGAACTTTAGAAGATGGATTATAAAAGAGTCAATAGTCTGGACTATAAAAGAGTCTATAGTCTGGAATACAGAAACGTCTATAGTGTAGATTATAGAAGTGTATATAGTGTAGACTATAGAAGAGTATATAGTGTAGACTATAGAAGAGTATATAGTAGGGACTATGGAAGGATCTATAGCAGAGTTTATAGCGTGGACTATAGAAGAGTCGATAGTCTGGATTATAGAAATGTCAATAGTCTGGACTATAGAAGAGTCTATAGTGTGGACTATAGAAGAGTCTATAGTCTGGACTATAGAAGTGGCTATAGTCTGGACTATTGAAGTGTCTATAGACTGGACTATAAAAGAGTCAATAGCCTGGACTATAAAAGAGTCTATAGTCTGGACTATGGAAGAGCTTATAGTCCAGATTATAGACCCATATATAGTCCAGACTATAGACCCACTCTATAGTCTGGACTATAGATGGGTCTATACTCTGGACTATAGATGGGTCTAAAGTCTGAACTATAGATGAGTCTATGGTCTGGACTATAGATGATTCTATAGTCTGGACTATAGATGATTTTATAGTCTGGACTATAGAACAGTCTATAGTCTGGACTATAGAACAGTCTATAGTCTGGACTATAGAGCAGTCTATAGTCTGGACTATAGAGCAGTCTCTAGTCTGGACTATAGAGCAGTCTATAGTCTCTAGTCTGGACTATAGAGCAGTCTATAGTCTGGACTAGAGAGCAGTCTGTAGTCTGGACTATAGAGCAGTCTATAGTCTGGACTATAGATGGGTCTATAGTCTAGACTATATATGAAACTATAGTGTGGACTATAAAAGAGTCTATAGTATGGACTATAGAAGAGTCTATATTCTGGATTATAGAAGTGTCTGTAGTCTGAACTACAGAAGAGTCTGTAGTCTGGTCTAAAGAGTCTATAGTGTGGACTATAGAATAGTCTTTTGTCTGGACTATATATTAGTCTAAAGTCTGGACTATAGAAGAGTCTATAGTCTGGACTATATATTAGCCTATTGCCTGAACTGTAGATTATATAATAGTCTGGACTAAAGATTAGTTTATAGTCTGGACTATAGTGTGGTTTATACTTTGAACTATAAAATACTATAGATTAGTCCATAGTCTGGACTATGGGAATAATCCCAATTTATTATTAACTGATATTCTAGAGCCACTTGTCAAGTTATGGACAAAATAAATAGGCACAATAGCAAATAACTCATCATCTTGATTTGTGTCAATTTCAGAATAGTATTTATAGTTTTTGGTTAAGAAACCGAAAAAATATTCCAAAAGTAATTATAATTACTTTATTACTCTATAGAGTTAATTATTGTCATTAAAAGTTATATATAATTTTCTATTGATAAGATAATTTTGATTAACGACTTAGCGGCAGTTTAAGTTTGTTTATAAAAGACCTCTTACCTACTCACTCATATTCAAAACTTTACGAAATTCTTGAAGAGATATTGAGGAGTTTCTTTTTTAAAATGTTTTTTAACTTTAAATCGTTGATCTGTTGCCTTTTAGGGGTTTTTATGCTGTTGCTATTGAAGTCTACTCAGGCACAATTGGACCTTAGTAAAATCGGCATTTTACAGACTGTGGGTGAAAAACAATATTTTGTTGAGAAAGCGGTTAAAGTTAATTGGCACAAAGCCTTACAAAGTTGTGCTAAAATGAACATGAGATTGGCATCAATTGAATCGTCGACGGAGCAGCAAAATTTAAAAACATTATTGAATTCGAATTGTAAGTATGAGAATTATTATTCTGGACTATAGTCGGGTCTATAGTCTATAAAATGGAGTTTTGTCTAGCCTACAAGGTGAACTATAGTCTAGACTATAGTATGGTCTATAATCTAGACTATAGTCTAGACTATAGTATGGTCTATAATCTAGACTATAGTTTAGTCTACAGTCTGGACTATAGTCTGGACTATAGACTTGACTATAGTCTTGATTATAGCCTGTCCTATAGACTGGACTATAGCCTGGCCTATAGACTGGACTATAGCCTGGGCTATAGACTGGACTATAGCCTGGGCTATAGTCTGGAGTATAGCCTGGACTATAATCAAGTCTATTGTCTAGTAATAGTCTAGACTGCAGTCCAGATTATAGACTAGGTTATAGTCCAGTCTATAGTCGAGACTACATTCCAGTCCAGACTATAATGTATAGTCAATAGTTTTGTATTTAGTCTGCAACAGAAACTCCTCAAAATTATGGACCTAAGAAACTTTTAGTCTGAACTATAATTTGTTAACATCTATTAAAATTTTTTTCAGCTGCTTTATCTAAACAATACTGGATATCTGGCAATGATTTGTCTTTAAGCCGTGACTTTGTCTGGTTCGGTACTGGCGATTCTTTCAGCTATACTAGTTGGGGTTCTGCACCCGGCGGCAGCACTAGCCAACGTTGTGTACGTACTGATGCTAATTTCAATTGGCGTAGAGAATTTTGCAGCAGTTTACAGTACTTCATATGCGAAAGGCCTTTAGTGCCGGCATGTGGTTCCAGTGCAACATGTAATGTTAAACCCACAATTATTGTGTAATTATTTTCTTATTAAGGAAGAAAATTTTAAATAAATATATAAATTTAAAGCATAAAATAAAACTTTAATTTAATTTATGATTTTAGAAATTTTGGAATGTCTAAGAATCAAGGCTACAGATAATAGTTTAATAGGGAATATAAGGATTAGATATTATGAAAACGTGTTAAAATAAATACCAGATTTTGGGTGGACATTTAAATTGCATTATATATATGTAGTCCCTATACTTCGACTTCTAATAAGATATCTCGTAGTTTTCTTTAGAAATTCAAAGTTTAAAGTCTGAGAACAGAAATCCAGTTCGCTTCATTTGGGTACATTTTGGTCCAAGTTAAAGATTGAAATCTACTTGAAAATATAATATTATTCTGAGAAAGTATTGGACTAAAAATATCCATATAATACTTGACTAATATTGGCGCTGTCTTAAAATTTGAACTGTTACAAATTTGTCACTTTTTAAAACAAAATATACTCTGAAAAATGTTATCTAAACAGATGAAAGCTTCTAAATGGAAACATTAGATACTTAGTCCTAAATTAGTGAACATTAAGAACGACTTAATATAATCCAGAATAAGGTCAGAATGCACTAATGGGACATAATGGTAATTTGGATCCCGCTCTCTCAATTCATCAGGATTACCTCAAGGTACTCATACTTCAAATAAGCGAAAATCAGGTGATTGATCACCCTCACAATTATAACCTGAATTAGCTGGAATTTCCATTATTATCAAAAACATTACGTCAAAATATGTCATTTAATCTCATACCTCTAATCAATCAAAGTCATTCTCTGCATTTCCGAAAACGTTCAGAAGTTTTCTATATAAACTATAGTAAAATTGGAATACTATTATTATAATTTTGAAACCAGCTAAGCTTTGCTAGACTTTCTTAAAAAAATGGCTTTAAACTTTAATATCTTTGCAGTAACTTTAAGCTTAGTTCTGCTTAAACTTTTAGCTATGGCTAGTGGTGAGACCACAACCACAACTATAGGGGAAAAAAATTATCGTGTTGTTACCTATGAGAAGGTGAATTGGTATCGTGCTTATCAGTTATGTGCGTTAGCTGGTATGCAATTGGCTTCTATTGAATCGGAGAGTGAAGCAAAGGCTTTGAGTGAATTTCTATTTGCGAATTGTAAGTAAAAACTTTGAAATGAAAAAGAGTTATAATGAAAATATGATGATTATACGATTCCAATGTATTATAATGCATTATAATGTGAGTATGAGGTACTATAGTACATTATAATGTTATTATAACACATTATAATAGTATTATAATCCATTATAATTTGATGATCATTTCTATAAATACGTTATAATTCAGTAATAATGTGTTTTAATATATTATAATTCGATTATAAAGTTTTCTTATAATGAATTTAAATTCATTATAATATGATTATAATATACAATAATACATTATAATGTAATTATAATGCGCTTTAAAAAATTATAATTCAATTATAATGTTTAAAAAAACATAATAATTAAATTATAACATATTTTTAATAATTATAATTAAATTCTAATGCATTATAAATCATTACAATATGCCTATAATACATTGTAGCTCATTATAATCGCAATATAATAAAATGTAACGCATTATAATTTGATTATAATCGATGGTAACAGATTATATGTTATTCGATTATTATGGATTATAATACATTATAATATGATTATAATGGATTATAATACATTATAATCGATAATAATTAGTTATAATGATATGTTATAGGGTTATAAAGTTTTATAATTTCACTTTAATGTATTTAAACACATTATAATGAGATTATAATGGATCAAAAGATATTAGTTTTATGTTATAATGTGTTATAATACATTATAATACTATACTATATACTAAATTATAATCTTATTATAATGCTTTACTATACATTATAATTTTAATATAATTAATTATAATGCATTATAATTCGATTATAATGGGGTTTAAAGCATTATAATATATTTTAATGCTAACTATTTGATTGTAATTTGTTATAATTACTTATAAATCGATTATAATGCATATAAATACATCATAATAGGATTATGATGTATTATAAAGCCTTATGATTTAATTATAATATACCTACACATAATATAATTCTATTATAATATATTATGAAACATTATAATCAAACTTCAACTAATAACATTTCCAACAACTTTCATTTCCCCCCTTTTTTAGCCCTTCTTTTCAACAACTATTGGTTAGCGGGCAATAATTTGGGTAATCGTGGCGAATATGTATGGCTTTCCAGCGGTAATCGTTTCTCTTACACCAAATGGGCTGATAATCAACCGGGTACTTTGGCAAATCGTTGCATACGTACTAATGCTGAACTAAAATGGATAACAGAACCATGTACTAATACAAATTTTTATATTTGTTCTAGTCCAACTGTACCGGATTGTCTAACCGGTGAATGCAAATTAGCATTCGAATGATTTACTTATATTTCTTGAAATATTAAAGAAAATTAATAAAATTTGTATGGGAATATTAGAAAAATAAACAAAAAAACGTTTTTATATAAAATTTAATTTAACAGGGATAGTATATATAAATCTGTTGCTACATACAGATCTATTATATAATATGTAGTTGATTTTGGATGGAAAATTGAAGTCTTATTTAAGAATCTATGGTCGATTTTCGGATGGATCCTTAGGTTTTATATGAAATCTCATCCTTGGGGGAATATATGAGTAATCACTCATTTTCGTTATTTTCTCTATTGAATCATTTTTTGATGATGTACAACGGATATTATGATTATTGTTTTAGAATCATAGATTATTTTCTCAATTGGAGCATTTTTAATGACCTACAGAGGATTTTAGGTTTATTATAACCCATTATAATAGGCTTTTAATGTGTTATAACCCATTATAATGCGCTAAATTACATTATAATATATTTATACAGTATTATAACACATTATAATGATATGACAAGGTACTAAAACATATTATAACATGATTACAATTTGTTAAAACCTATTATAATATAATTATAATTTATTATAACCAATTATAGTATGATTATAATATATTAAAACTAATTATAATACTTTACAACCCATTATAATACGATTATAATGTGTACTGTAGCATTATAATTATATTATAATGTATTATACCATATTATAATGCAATTATAATGTAATATAACGCATTAATAAATGATAATAATGGAATTATGACCTACAGAGGATTTTAGGTTTATTATAACCCATTATAATAGGCTTTTAATGTGTTATAACCCATTATAATGCGCTAAATTACATTATAATATATTTATACAGTATTATAACACATTATAATGATATGACAAGGTACTAAAACATATTATAACATGATTACAATTTGTTAAAACCTATTATAATATAATTATAATTTATTATAACCAATTATAGTATGATTATAATATATTAAAACTAATTATAATACTTTACAACCCATTATAATACGATTATAATGTGTACTGTAGCATTATAATTATATTATAATGTATTATACCATATTATAATGCAATTATAATGTAATATAACGCATTAATAAATGATAATAATGGAATTATAACACGATTGAAATAAATTATAACACATTATAATGTTATTATAATGTATTATAACGTATTTTAATGCAATTTTAGAGATTTTCAACCCATTTTAATACTATTATAATGTATTATTGCACATTATAATGCCACTACAATGTATTAAAATACATTACATTACAACCCATTATAATACGATTATAATATATAGTGTAGCATTATAATGCTATTATAATTTATTATACCATATAATAATGCAGTTATAATGTAATATAACGCATTAATATATGATAATAATGGAATATAATACATTATAATACGATTGAAATAAATTATAACACATTATAATGTTATTATAATGTATTATAACGTATTTTAATACAATTTTAAAGATTTTCAACCCATTATAATACTATTATAATATATTATGACACATTATAATGCCACTACAATGTATTAAAATACATTATAACATGATTATAACGTTTCATAACCCATTATAATACGGTTATAATGTATTAAGTTACATTATAACATGATTATAATATGTTTTAACATATTATAATATGATAATAATGTTTTTACATTATCTTTATATAATAATATTGTATTATAATGAGATTATAATGTATTATAATCCATTATAATAAGATTATAATGTATTATAACACGTTATAAAGCGTTGTAACAAGATTATAATGCATTATAACATATTATAATACGACTATATTCTCTTATAAAACATTATAATGTATTTTTTACCTTTTTTATAATAACATTATCAGAAAACTCATTAATTGTTAATACATTTTAAACTACTATATACTTATCTTTATATGGAAATCAATCAATGTCTTTAAATTGTAAATTATACTTCTGTCCTTAACTTTCTGCTATAATTTTTCCATATAAATAAACTTTAGTTTAAACAAAAACCCTAAGTTATAACTGAATCTTCCACGTTACAATAAAAATGGTTACAACTATTAAACCTCTTTTACTATCCTTCAGCATAATGCTATTGGGTCTAGTACTTGCCGTTAAGGCTGACGATGATTTAACTACCGATATTGGTAGCAAGAGATTTTTGATAAAAACCGGCAAAAAACTTAATTGGTACCAAGCCAATCATGCGTGTACGCGTGTGGGTATGACTCTAGCATCTATTGAATCGGAGACAGAGCAAACAAATTTAAGGAATTATTTGTTTTCTCAGGGTAAGTAATGATATAGATATTCCGGCTAAGTAAATTAATCATATTATATTAGGTCACTTGAGCGATGGTTTCTGGTTGTCTGGAAATAATTTGGCTGACGAAACTGTCTATACTTGGTTGTCGAATGGTAATAAATTAAGCTATACAAATTGGCTTAGCGGACAACCTAGTCCTTTAGCAAATTACTGTGTTTTCACCGATGTGGACTTTAAGTGGAACACAGTGTTATGCGCTGGCACAACCCCTGATGTAAAATACTATATTTGTTCAAGACCACTTGTACCAAACTGTGGTATAACTGGACGTTGTAAAATAAATAGAAGTTTTTATTATTGATTTGATATACAAACTTAATTATGAATAAAAAACTATTTCCAGAACATTTAAAATAATTTTTTTATTTTCAACTAACAAAATATGTTTGTAAATTTTTTACAATCCAAAATTTTTTAAAAACTGGAACTATACTAGAACTGAACTAGACCTGAACTACAACCGAACTACAACTGGACTAGAACTGAACTAGACCTGAACTAAAACTGGACTAGAACTGAACTAGAACTGAACTAGAACTGAACTAGAACTGAACTAGAACTGAACTAGAACTGAACTAGAACTGAACTAGAACTGAACTAGAACTGAACTAGAACTGAACTAGAACTGAACTAGAACTGAACTAGAACTGAACTAGAACTGAACTAGAACTGAACTAGAACTGAACTAGAACTGAACTAGAACTGAACTAGAACAAGCTAGAACAGAACAGAACTAGAACTGGACTAGAACTGAACTACTGAACTAGAACTGAACTAGAACTGAACTAGAACTGAACTAGAACTGAACTAGAACTGAACTAGAACTGAACTAGAACTGAACTAGAACTGAACTAGAACTGAACTAGAACTGAACTAGAACTGAACTAGAACTGAACTAGAACTGAACTAGAACTGAACTAGAACTGAACTAGAACTGAACTAAAACTGAACTAGAACTGAACTAGAACTGTACTAGATCTGAACTAGAACTGAACTAGAACTGAACTAGAACTAAACTAGAACTAAACTAGAACTAGAACTGAGCTACAATTGAACTAGAACTGAACCAGACTTGAACTAAACCTGAACACACATTTTTCTAGAACAGAACAGAACTAGAACTGGACTAGAACTGAACTTGAACTAGAACTGAACTAGAACTGAACTAGAACTGAACTAGAACTGAACTAGAACTGAACTAGAACTAGAACTGAACTAGAACTGAACTAGAACTGAACTAGAACTGAACTAGAACTGAACTAGAACTGAACTAGAACTGAACTAGAACTGAACTAGAACTGAACTAGAACTGAACTAGAACTGAACTAAAACTGAACTAGAACTGAACTAGAACTGTACTAGATCTGAACTAGAACTGAACTAGAACTGAACTAGAACTAAACTAGAACTAGAACTGAGCTACAATTGAACTAGAACTGAACCAGACTTGAACTAAACCTGAACACACATTTTTCTAAAAAAATAAAAACAACAGTACTCCTCCTAGTTGCCACAAAAACATTGCACTGACCTCTTTCCTCACTCTTCCATTTATGCTAAGTATGTACTTATAAAGAAAACGCCGGCCGCTAGCCATCAATTTGAAGCATAAGACACTCCTTCCTGATCTCATATTTCTTATTTTTCAAAAACAAAAAAGCTCCGGCCAGCTACCACCTGCAATTTTTGCCACCAATCTTCTTAACTTTGAGAAGTTTTTTTTCTATTATTTTTATGCAACAACAAAACAGCACTACATTGCAATACATACCCTCATTCCAGCTTCTTGCTCCACCACATATTATGCTTCTTTAGCTCCGGCAGCCACTTCCATTTTTGACATCAACTTTTTTTCACAATTTTCACAAACACTTGTTACTATTATAGTTTTAATTTTCCTTTAACTTTTATACATAATATTATTAATCATTTACTAAATAAGAAATTTATGCAAAATTATTAGCAATTTGTTTACTTATAATAGCAATAATTAATTATTTTCCAGGAGTACTACAAAAGACGACAAAACATTTGTAAAATTACGCGCAAACTAAAAGAAAACTGTCAAATTTTGTTGTTTTGTCTTGTTATGATTATGTTGTTATTGTTGTTATTAGGCTTTACTAAATTCTCTAAATATATTTGTATGAGAATGTGTGTATGTTTTATGTGAAGGAAGAGTAAGTGAGTATAGGAATGCAATTCTCTTCTCCCACTTCTCTCCCCCTTTAAAAAACAAACACCTAGTAAAGCTTACAAACATCGCATAAAACATACACACATTCTCATACAAATATTATGAAAGAATTTTGTAGAACCTTAATAACAACAATAACAACATAATCATAACAAGACAAAACAACAAAATTTGACAGTTTTCTTTTAGTTTGCGCGTAATTTACAATTGGTGTGACGTTTTTTCATATGTACTCCTGGAAAATAAATAATTATTGCTATTAATAGTAAACAAATTGCAAATATTTTTGCATAAATTGCTAATTAAATAAATGCTTAATAATATTATGTATAAAAGTTAAAGCAAAATTTTAAATATAATAGTAAAAAGTGTTCGTAAAAATTGTGAAAAGAAGTTGTTTGCAAAAGTGGAAGTGGCTGCCGGAGCGAAAGAAGCATGATATGTGTTGGAGCAAGTAGCTGGAATGAGGGTATTTATTGCAATGTAATGTGGTTTTGTTATTGCATAAACTCATTTGGAAGTTGAAATATCTCAAAGTTAAGAAGATTGAAAGCAAAAATTGAAGGTGGTAGCTGGCCGGAGTTTTATGTTTATGACTAGCTTATTACCCGCTACTTTGTTAGCGAGGGTTTTTATAGAATGATAAATATGTTGGCTCTTCATTTAGCAAGGAAAAAAGAATATGTATTACAAAGATTACAAATTTTTAAATATTGGTAATTCCCTAATTTGAAGAAATGATGATTGTATATGTGTACTCAATTTTAAGTACTTAAAAGTCCACTTTTATAGATTCTCATTTACGCCGTGCTCTATATGCTTAATTTCATGTTTTTAGGTTGAATTTTATAGAAAACTCAAAAAATACCAATCGAAGGACGAAAAAGTGCCAAAAAGTTCACTTTTATAGATTCTCATTAACTAAGGCCTCTGCATGCTTAATTTCATGTTTCTAGGTTTAATTTTATGGAAAACTCAAAAAGTACCAGTCGAAGTACGATAAAGTACCAAAAAGTCCCCTTTTATAGATTCTAATTTACTCCAGGCTCTACATGCTTAATTTTATGTTTCTAGGTTAAATTTTATAAAAAACTGAAAAAAGTACCAGTCGAAGAATGAAAAAGTACAAAAAAGTCTCCTTTTATAGATTCTTATTTACTCCGGGCTCTACATGCTTAATTTCATGTTTCTATGTTCAATTTTATAGAAAAATCAAAAAGTACCAATCGAAGAACAAAAAAGTACCAAAAAGGTCCTCTTTTATAGTTTCCAATTTACTCCGGGCTCTATATGCTTAATATCATGTTTCTAGGTTCAATTTTATAGAAAAATCAAAAAGTTCCAGTCGAAGAACGAAAAAGTACCAAAAAGTCCCCTTATATATTCCCATTAACTAAGGGCTCTGCATGCTTAATTTCATGTTTCTAGGTTAAATTTTATAGAAAAATCAAAAAGTACCAGTCGAAGAACGAAAAAGTACCAAAAAGTCCCCTTATATATTCCCATTAACTAAGGGCTCTGCATGCTTAATTTCATGTTTCTAGGTTTAATTTGATAGAAAACTCAAAAAGTACCAGTCGAAGGACGAAAAAGTACCAAAAAGTCCCCTATTATAGATTCTCATTCACTCTGGGCTCTACATGCTTAATTCATGTTTCTAGGTTAAATTTTATAGAAAACTCAAAAAGTACCAGTCGAAAGACGAAAAAGTTCCAAAAAGTCCCCTTTTATAGATTCTCATTTACTAAGGGCTCTACATGCTTAATTTCATGTTTCTAGGTTAAATTTTATAGAAAACTCAAAAAGTACCAGTTGAAGGATGAAAAAGTACCAAAAAGTCCCCTTTTATAGATTCTCATTTACTAGGGCTCTACATGCTTAATTTCATGTTTCTAGGTTAAATTTTATAGAAAACTCAAAAAGTACCAGTGGAAGGACGAAAAAGTATCAAAAAGTCCCCTTTTATAGATTCTCATTTACTAAGGGCTCTACATGCTTAATTTTATGTTTCTAGGTTAAATTTTATAGAAAACTCAAAAAGTACCAGTCGAAAGACGAAAAAGTCCCCTTTTATAGATTCTCATTTACTAAGGGCTCTACATGCTTAATTTCATGTTTCTAGGTTAAATTTTATAGAAAACTCAAAAAGTACCAGTCGAAGGACGAAAAAGTACAAAAAAGTCCCCTATTATAGATTCTCATTTACTCTGGGCTCTACATGCTTAATTTCATGTTTGTAGGTTAAATTTTATAGAAAACTCAAAAAGTACCAGTCGAAGGACGAAAAAGTACCAAAAAGTCCCCTATTATAGATACTCATTTACTCCAGGCTCTACATGCTTAAATTCATGTTTCTAGGTTAAATTTTATAGAAAACTCAAAAAGTACCAGTCGAAAGACGAAAATGTTCCAAAAAGTCCCCTTTTATAGATTCTCATTTACTCCGGGCTACATGCTTAATTTCATGTTTCTAGGTTAAATTTTATAGAAAACTCAAAAAGTATCGGTCGAAAGACGAAAAAGTACCAAAAAGTCCCCTATTATAGATTCTCATTTACTAAGGGCTCTACATGCTTAATTTCATGTTTCTAGGTTAAATTTTATAGAAAACTCAAAAAGTACCAGTCGAAGAC